AGTCAAACAAATGTTTGAAAGTGTAGTCAAACAAAACTCAATGTAAGGCTGTACAGAAATGCAAAGTGTTTTTTTCCTTCAAAACACTGATTTTATTCATGCCTGTTTGAGGTTTTAGTCACTCGCTCTTTTGTAATCACGCTGAATTGTCCATGCTCCCAGCAGGTATCAACCGAAACCCTCCTGCTGGTGTTGCTGAGAAAGGAGGAGGCATTTGGTTGACCAGGCGTGAAAAGCTGCTAAACCAGCTGCCATAAATCACACCCAGCAGCTTGTTGGCAGCCCATGCACATCCTAGGGCTGTAGGAGACAGGTGCAGTCCCTAATTCTGTCATTTCAGGATCACGTTGCTCAGAGAGAGAATGGTTAGAGGGAAGTTAGTACCTGAAAAGAGCAGCTCTTGATTCCTGATGCTATGCAAGTGTTGGTGTCTTACAAATGCTTGGGTAGCATCACCACGTCACTGAAACATTGCCATGTCCCTCCTGTCATCCACGCAGCAGCTGCTGCCCTATCACGGTTCATGCATCAGGGGAGGCCATACATGGACCCTCACTTGCTGGAACATGGTTAAAGAAGAGGGTGATTTTTTTTTTTTTAATGACTAGAACAAATTTCTTTTTTAAAGACAAGGATATGAATTTCCAAAGACATTCCTGTTCACAAGGCGTAAAACACCCTGCACTGACATTGCTTTGGCTCTGCCACACCTGCCCAGAAGCGAGTGTGCTAATGGGTGGAGAAAAGCCACAAGAAAGAATTTGCTTCTGGAGCTAATGATGCAGATTAGCCCCATGGTTTGCTGTGGAGATTTGCTGTGATATCTGTGGGTTGTGAGAAGCCACCGGGTGTGTGCCCTTTCATCAGCTGCAGAGGCGCGCAGACTTTCCCACCTTGGTGTCTGCCAACCTTCATTGTTCGTGTAGCAGGTTCCTGTAAATTGGCTATTTTTATTTCTGTTCTGTTTCTGTACGTGGGGCTGCTTTTGCTGTTGGCCTGGATGCAGACTGGGTCCCGACAGCATCTCCTGAAGCAAGCTTGCCTTTTTTTTTTTTTTTCCTTTTTGTTTTCCTAAGCTTCATGCGACTACGCAGATTTAGGCTTGTTGGGCAATGTTTACCCTGGCTTCCCTTTCCTGGGTACTCTATTACTCATTACTGCTCAAATCCTAGCAAATAAATAAATGATTTTTGCTATGGCAACAAGAATCTGGTGGCTGAGCCACACGATATTCCCTGAAAAACCTGCTTCGTTCTTCCCAGCGTGGCCCTGATGGCCGGGCGGACTGTTCCTCTATAGATACACGGCGTGGGGTTGAACTCTGGTTATGCGACACTGGTTCTGCGCAAAGCATTCAGTTGAGCAAATACTGATTAATCCCTGCAAACATCCACAGCTGAAGGGTGCAGAGTTTGTCCTTTCTGCAGCTGGCGGCTGCTGATGCAGCAGAGGCGGGGGAGCTGCGCCGAGACGCCTGCGAGCCGGCTCCTCCGACCGGGCTCCAGCATGCTTGGCTCTTCTGGGACGCATTTTTCTTCTCAAGAAAATGACCCCGTCACCTCTTGTGTTTCTGTAAAAGTCTGCACTGGTCTCGCAAGGGGCTGCCTGGCCTCTGACTGTGCCATTACTGGGTTTCTGATTTATTTATTTCTAGGTGCTTCTGGGGCCAACCCAGCCCATGCTCCTTACGTGCAGTTCTGACTGCTCAGCTCTGCTCCTTGCTGCTTAGAGGCTTTTTGAGGCAACCATATAACCATGTTTCATTTCCTCTTGTTTTCCCCTAATAAGTCATCTCCATCCTTTCCTGGCTACACTGAGCAGCCCTGCGCTGCCCTGGCTGGCTCTCTACGGGGCTGTTCCTGGTTCTGGGGCCCTTTCCTCTCGGGGTTCTCCCTCTGTATGGGCAGAGGTGAACGCGTGTCCCCGGGGCGGCGTGCAGGAGCGGGGAAGGCAGTGGTGCTGGAGTCCGACCCCGTGCCAGCGGACGGTTGTTCCCCCACTGTTTGCTTTGCCTGGGCGCGTCCTCGAGAGCTGCTGGGCCCTTCCTGCTCCTTGGTGCCTCGCCTTTGGGTGCAGGGCTTGGGATGCCAGCACGGGGTGGGCCAGTGCAGTGTTAGGGGGGCTGCACCGTGGTGCACTCGTGCTGCTGTCAGCCTTCTGGCAGGCTGTGCTGCCTCGGGGAGCGCTTGCTGAAGCAGCAAACCCTCAGGGTACGAGCCCTCCCTCGGGCCCTGATGCGTGGGGCTGGCACCGCTGCAGGCAGCGATTACTTTTCATTTTGAATAACTTCAGCGTTGCCTCCTACAGCATTGTGGCTCCTCTGCGGCAGGGACCCGGCAAGCACGGAGCCTCCAGCAGCTCACCCAGTGTGGCCGCGGGCGAACCAAGCAGGGCTGCTCCGATTCGGGCTGGGCTGTGGCACGCAGCCTTGGGCACTGCCGGGGATCCCCTGGTGACTGCTGCTCCTTCCTGCTCCTGCCCTGGCTTCGCTCCCTGGGTGGGGCTGTTTTCTCCCCTTGCTCTACGCACAGCTTTGGTCTAAATTGGTCTCAAAGTCATTTTTCTTAGAGATCTCCTTCTGCTAGCAGAAAACCAGGAAAACTTATTTGTGCTTCCCAAGCTTAAATCTGAAAAAAACAGGTTGATCTGTCCTGTCCACTTTGCTTGCCGTGCTTAGCATTGCGTTGCCCTGCAGCACACGCTGGCAGTGCTGTGCCTGGTCCTGGGGTGGCCCCGCAGTGTCCAGGAGCACAGGGCACTGCCTGTCCCCGCAGCCCTTGGAGCACAGAGGCCACATTGTGAGCTCTCGCTGCCTGGCTCGGGTCAGGGAGCATCTAGGGCAGCAGCAGGGGTAAGAAATTCAGCAAACAGCAGCCAGGGTGCTCTGATCTTCAGGGCTGTTTCTCTGCAGTCCCTTTTCTCAGAACTGTAATCGCGCCCCGTGTCACCTGGGGACAGCTAAAGCGGCCGGGGCAGGGAGTGGGGTGAGGCAGCTGGCTGCCCTCTGCTTCCATCCCCTTCTCCTGGGGTGTGGGGAAAGGAGGCAGCCTGTGCCCGGGGCACGTCCTGGGCTCGGGCAGAGCAGCACAACGTAGCAGCCCGCTCTGCTGTGTCCGCAGGCTCCCACCCCTGCAGTCGTGGGCTCGGCCTGAGCAGGGCACGCAGTGGCACCAGGGTTGCACCAGGCGAAGGAGATGCTGAGGTGGCTGCTGCTGTTGCAAGAAGTATTTGTGTCTGAGCAGCACGCGTGGTGTGAGGTTCCCTGAAAGCTGCTTAGGGCCGCGTGCTCTTTCTTGACCTCTTGTGTATTTTGTACGTGAGAGAAAGAGCAAATACGGCTCGTGGGGCAGATGTGCTGTACTTTCTTCCTTCTGGTCATTACACAGAATCAGAAGAAATCTTTTGAATCAACTGGTTCCTACTGCCTGTCACAAGCAACTGTGTCTGTTAATTCTGTTCATAACCCTATTAGCTCAATTTTAAATGCAGTTATAAGTAAAGGGATCTCAGCACCCTTTTAGGCAGCTGGTCCTGAACCTTGATCCGAGTTGGCTAGATACTTCCTTATTTTTGGCTTAAAGTTATTCCTGGCAAGCTTATCCTCCTTGTTTGTCTGTGTTGTATGCTGGCATCAGCAGTTCTTCTCTGCTCCTTGGTGTTTATTTTTTTGGTGCACTTACAAAGAGCCATTATGCTTTTTCTCAACCTTTATTTCTGCTGGCATGAACGGGCTGAATTTCATCTCCACTTGTTCAAGAATGATGAAGTGTAACCAGGTCTTCTAAGCAGGAGTGTAGGTAATGATTAGGACAGGTAAAGCAGCAGGTGAACAATCCCTGCCCTCAGCTTTTGCTTTGGATTTGGAAGACCACATCTGCAGGTACTGTGTCTGGGTTTGGCCTTCCCACTGCAGGGAAGATGTTGAGAAACTGGAGCAAGTCCTTCAGAGGCCACCAAGGGCTTGGGCGTGAAGCTGAGGAAGCCGTTCTGCTCAGCCTGGAGGAGAGGAGGGGGCTCTGATCACTGCCTCCTGCTTCCTGCTGGGTGTTAGAGGGAGGTTGGAGCCGGGCAGTCCCAGTTTCCAGTGGAAATTCTTTGCTTCATTCCAGGTTTAGTTAAGCAGCATCCTAATGATGATTACAGTCCTGTAACCAATTCAGAATGTTCTCAGTTATTCACAGGTGATGAATTTAAAATCCTGAGCAGGCTCTCAGAGCAAGGGCTGGTCTCAAACATCATCCCATGCGTAGGGTTCTTGCTGTCTGGTCTTCTGAATGACCCATGAAATTCTGTTTTTTCCCTCAGCCAGGTTGCATGTTGGAGTCATCTTCATTTCTCAGTCTCTCAGTTATTGCACAAAGGTCACTAGTGAGAAATTTAATAAAACCAGTTTTGAAACAGAACCTTAGGGACCTCCCATTTGTCCAGTATTTTTGCTCTCTAATACCACCTGTTACTGTCCTTCCCTTAGCTGCTTCCATCTTCTTACTTCTGGTGTTAATTCTTTTTTTTAAATCTACCATAAATAGTTTTTTTGCCGTGATATCCTCCCAAAAATGTGGTCCTAATCACTGATGTTTCTATTGCCTAGAGCATGGGTACACAAACGAGTCGGCAGGCATTAGAGATGCCACCTTTTCAACAAGAGGATGCGAGGATGCTCTCCTCTCCTTGTCAGTGTCCTCCTGAGGGACGTGCTGGCAGCTCCTGGCTGCTGGCATCACGATGTTAGGTGGTGGCAAGGTGTGTGCTGGGACAAAACACCGGAGCACCTCTGAGCCTCCTGACTCTGTCCCATCTGTTTGGCCATCTGCCTTTGTGGTTTCTGTCAGTGCGGTACGAGGTTCAGCAAGGCACGTGGGGAGAGGTGTGGGAAGACGCGATGGCTTCCTTGCTGTAGGGCAAAGCCCTGGGATGGGAGGTGGTCGTTGCCAGAAGAAACCTGGGGATCAGTGGTTTCTCATGCTGCTTTGTAATAGTTCTTTTTTGCTGTTGTCTAGATGAAGATCTCCTTCAACGAGACAAGTTTGCAGACCATGTTTGAGTATCCGTCAGAGAGCTCACTGGCAGAAGAAGAGGACGAAGAGGAAGGACACGCTTCTGAAACAGAGGAGGACAAGCCTTGCACCTTTCACATTCCACGCCCAAATAGCACTTTGCATCCCAGTACACCTAACTCAGGTGAGCGAGGTGCTCTGTTGGCATCGTGGGGTTATTGGTGGTGTCTGCCACTGTCCATGTTTCCTACAGCCCATTATGGTGCTCCATGCAGCTGGAAATGTTCATGGAAGTGATCTTCTGCCAGCTGACAGCAGAACTGGGGCTTAGTGGGGACAGGGCTTGAACCAGATCAGGGAACTCCCAGACTTCTCTTGCCTGAGATGCTATGTGTTGTCCAAAACTTAAAAATACGCTTCATGCTCCTTGCTAGGTTAACTGAGAGGGGTAGGTGGTGCCGTGATGTCTGCTAGGGAGCTGACAGCCCCTAGAAAGAGCATTGTATGGGCTTTTACCTGCAAAAGGAACAAGTTCCTTGCCCATCCTGCAGAGGCACAGCTTCTGTCCTGTCCATGGCCAGGATCCTGACCCTTCTTCCTTTTGGAGTGGTGAGAAGTGCTCATGTAAGCTTTGTCCTTCCAGCAGATCTATCCAGCTACACCCCAAAGCACTCTGTGAAGTTCAGCGAGTGGCAGGAGCAGAAGTACGAGGAGATGCCTGCTTCCGAGAGACCCCTCCTGAAGGAAGCTGACTCCCATGGGAACCAAGTCATGGTGAGACTTCAAAGCAGGTTGTGGCTTTGTCCTGTCCCGCTCTTATCTGGCTCTTGGATTAGTCTGTGCAGCGGGTGGGACAGGACGTGCCTTCCCCTGAACACCTGCGTGGCACACCTCGCTGGGCAGGGGAAGCAGAGATCAACACAAGCTTCCACCGCCCCCAGCAGCCCTGCCTCTCCCTGTGTGTGAGGAAGTCTTAAGGCAGCTGGCACGCTTTGTACTGCAGGGCACTTTTGGAGGGGAATTAAATGTGCTCGTTAGCCCCGGGCAAGGTGCCAGTGCAGCCTGCACCACCCAGAGGTGTGGATACTCACTTGCTCTAGATTTGATGATGTCTCCGTTTCGACTCTGCTTTCTCCACAGCTCACCCCAGCGGAGAAGGGCGGACTCTCCGACTTCAGCAGTGAGCCTGCCCTGTACTTCTGATCGCTTCATCCTGTAGCCTGCAGCAGCAGCTGCTGGACAGAACCCGTCAGTGCATCTCCCGAGACTCCACGCAAGCACCACAGAAATAAGCTTCTGGGTCCCTCCCTCATCGCAAGTTTTCAGAGGATTCTGATGCCAAGGGTGGACTAGATGCCATTGGGTGTCTATGGAGAATATTTGCACTGGATTCTGGGACCTAACTACTACTTTTAGGGCATATGACTTACTCTACCTGTGGCCTTGCATATTCCTTGTTCAAGATCAGCTGTCGATTAGACAAGCCTCTTAAGAACCCACCTGTAATACAGGATGGATGCAGATTCTCTTAGTACTTACCTGAGTCTGCTCATCCAAGCATTGTATGGGGTCTGGACAGCTTTTGTAACACTTCCTTACTGGGGTCCCTAACGAGAGAACAGTTCTGAAGGTTGAGCACTGGGAATATCTGGGCAGGTAGCTGGATTCACAGAAGGGGTTGTGATGTGACAGTGGGATTACAGTGGGTGTCAGCTTGGAGAACTGTTGAAGGTTCATGTTTTGTTCCCAAAATGTTTCTGGGTCTAGTTTCCCTGAGCTGTCATGGAATTTATGTGCCAGTTACGTTCTTGTGAAGGAAGCTGAATGTGAGGGATGGGAAGGGGAATAAATGCTTTTAGTTTTAGGTGTCACTTTTGCACTGATCTGTAAAGAAGCGCCCAGTCTAGCTTGGCTTGAGCCTCTTGAAAGATTCCCAAACATTGGCCATAGCTTTGATCTCTCCGTAACTGCCTCTGCTGTCCAGTCTCTAATAATTGCTAATCGTGCTTGTTTGCCAGTTCCTCTTATTTCGTTCCAGAATCTAATGAGGCCAGGTCCACGATTTATTTGTCTTGGTGGGGAGACTTGCTTCTTGCCATGCTCACTCTGCTTCTCTATGCAAAGCACAGAAGGGCTGTTTCACTCCTTTCTTCTGCAGAACTTGAACAAGGAATATGATTTTTTTTCTAGTGTTTTTATAGTTCCATTGTAAATGTTTAATGCAGCCAATATGCAAAGAAATCTGCTAGACTCTTCCATTTAAATTCTCTACTACTGTAAACTCAGGGTCAAGATTGCACTCTGGAAAAGACTGAACACTGCTGCTAATGTGATTTGTACTTCTGAGATTAAAAGATGCGGTTGGAATAGATACGGCCTCTTTGGGCTTGGTGAAATGAGTGGTACCCCAGCATGTGGCTCTGTCTAAAGGACCAGGCTGGCATCTTTTACATTTGATGCTTTTATTGGTTTGTCTATTATATATAGACAATGAATGTCAAGCTGATACCGATCTAAGAACTGAAAATGTTCTGGATACCTTGCACTCATTTTGGTGTATATTGTAGCAGCAGCAGGAGGAAGTTTGTTCTGCTGAAAAATACAGTTGAGGATAAGTGTTAGGCCATACCTACTTCTGCCTGTTCTCCTCTTCATCTGCCCTGGGTGCCTGTGTATTTCAGGAAAGATAATCCATAAGAATGAGATACCAGTTTGTTAAATGTTGGCTGGAGGGGCAAAGGAGCACGTTTCTCCTCCTTGCACTTCTAAGACATGTCCTTTTAAAACTATCTAGAAATGGCAGAAAGACAGTGGAAAGAACAGTGAATCCCATGTGCTGAAGTCTTTTCCCAGTAATGAAACACTTAAAAAGCAAGATGCTGGGACTGTTGGTGATTTAAGGGAAGACTAAGCTATCAGAAACGTGAACACTGAGCAGTGCCCACAGCCAGTAGCTGCGCACAGGGCCAAAGGTGAACAGGGAGGAAAACATTCTGCACATTTTTTCTAGTAGAAAAGGTCCCAGTGAGCATCTTGTAATGTAGAAAGCTCAGGCCATGGCCTTACAGCAGTCCTGTCTCTAGAGCTGCAGCCTAACAAAACTGCAAGTGGTGAAGCAAAAGCTGCTTGCAGTTTAAGTTAGGGACAAGCTGTCTGAACTAGTCCTGGCTTCATTCTGCTGTGGATCAACAAAGTGAACAATATCTTCCAGGTTGCTTCACTGACTTCAGCTGACTGAAATGCTGCTCTGGTACTTTGTGTGCTGATCTCAGTGAGCAGTGCCTGCACCTTCTCTAGTTAGGACAGGCTCAGTGGAGGCCTGAGAGCGCAGCGTGCATCTCAAGAGGGGCCCATGGTGCTCTGGTGTACTGCTGACCTCTCTTCTCTCCTAGTTTGCCTGCTCTGCCTTGTGGCTGTGATTTGCACCTCGCTGAGTGCTGCCTTTGCACTTCCTGGCTTTGTGTGCTAATCCCTGTCTGTACCAGACGAATGCTTAGCTTGTTCTTGCCAAAGCAAGCTGAAGGCTGGCTCAGGGCAGGAGCATTAGCTCAGGTGTCGCTTCAGTATCACTGTGCCCGAAAGAAAGGGTATTTTTGTAGCATACCTACCCTGATCCCTAGCTTGAGGGGAATACATTTAGCAGTTCTCTAATACCAAAGTGCATTTGAAAGGAAAACGTACTCCTGCAAACAAAGACTTTTATTAAACGTGGCATCCTTGTACCAGAACAGCAGCTGTCCCAGACCAACAGGCCTTGCCAGGCTGAAGAACAAGTTTAGGAATGCTTTTGTCCACTCGTTTGTTTTTCTTTTTGTTTTGAAGTGCTTTTTGGCTCACTGGCTTTACTAGCATTCCCAATTTCTCCCTTCAGGACATCTAGCAATGTCTGAGAACTCTCCAGAATCTGGGAAAGAAGAAAATAAAAACAGCTTATTTTTTTACATCAACTAAACAGTTCTTTCTGAATTCACCTGATCTACCTTGGAGCAAGAGGGGACTCTCCATCCCTTAGGATGTTACACCACTGAGAATTAGGTATTCTGTCTCACTGCAGGAATATCTGTGGAGGAATTTCTCTGGTTTATGCCCATTTTATGAATAAGAAATAACTTAAGCAGTTTATCAGTCTTCGAACACGGGGCAGAGAACTTCCTGCTGCAGCAGGCTGTGGACTAGACTTTAGTTTTTAAGAGATCTTGATACTTGGGCTTTTTAGATCAGTATTAGAATTGTACTCAGACACAGTTTCAACTGTCTTCTACTACTAAAACTGCACACTTCAGGTTTCTTGCTTCAAGATGTTACTCAACTCCACAATGACCTTAAGTCAGACTAAATCTTTCTGCTTTTATTCATTTTCTTTTGCTTTTAGCTTGTTTTATATAATTTAGCACTCCAACTTGTGGTGCGTTAGGATACAAGGCTATGCTAGGCTTAGAAAATCTTGTTGCCTGTCCATCTCTCTGTTGTAAAGTTTTAACACGGTGGACAACTGTAACAAAAAGTTATAGCAGGGTTATAGTCCCAAAGATCATTTTTACACTCCTATAAACTTGTGGAAATCATTAAGTGGTCAGAGAAGAGATGAAAGCAAGTGCCCCGCAGGCCGAGATGCCAGTAGAAGTTGGTGGGATCTTGTCGTCTGTGTCCATGGAAGAATGCGGTGGATGGGGACGGAGTCCTGCAACTCATGGGCTGGGGAAAGGCAAGGAGTATGATTACAGACAAGAGATGGAAATCCACAGGAAAGGAACTTTGTTACTTGTTTCTATTTGCAGGATGTCTGCATTTCCTCTCCTAACCACCTTGGCTCTTTACCTACTGTGACTTTGTCTTCTAATTTCAATAAACATGAATTTGTTTGTAGGATAGGGGCTTGTGACTTGTATCTCAGGGAAGGTTTCTTTTAGAACCTGTGCTGTTGTTTCTGTAACTTTACAACAAAATTGCTAAGCTGTTACAATTTTTATGTGAGTTGTCCCCTTCACCCTAAACCAGCAGGTCTTGAAGCAGGCAGAGAAATCAGCTCCAGCTTCATCTGAAAACAGCTGCTGCCAGGAAGGCTGGCCAGAAGGCACTGGCCTGAGGAGATAAGAGGATTCAACGCTTATAGTAGTTGTTGCCTTCAAAAAAGAAATGGGAGAAGGGAAAATTTAGGCAACTACCTGGAAAGCGCCTTTTACTCTTTTCAAAAGCTGACTTGGCGTTTTATTTTGAAAGCTAACTCAGCTGTTACCCTGTCAGCGGAATGAAGCAGTCCCTGCCCAGAGGTTCCAAATGCAGGAAGGGTGAAGGGACTGAGCCATCCCGCAACAGAAATGACAGCGATGCTCAGCCCTTGTGCTGCTGGGCTGCCTCCTGCCCCCTGGCTGCTCTGACATTCCTGCCCTTTCAGTTAACGGTATGGCAGATGCTGCCTCACAGGAAAGACAGAAGATGAAATTACATGAAAGTGAAGCAAAAAGAGCGCAGGGCCGACAGTTCTGGCATGGGTTTGTTGTTACCTGCGTGGATTCCTGTGGTCTTCTGGCCGCGTCTGGTTTCCTCCTTTTCCTTTCCCCTCTCCCGAACAGGGTTGGCGAGGGGCCTTTTGCAGGGTTTGGTGGCCCAGGGCCCATTTTCCTCTATTTCCACATCGTGCGGCTTCCCCCACCCCTGCTCAGCCGGGGGCAGCCCAGCAGAGCCCCGAGACCACCCCAACCCCTCCTTTCCCCCCTCAGGCCGCTGTGCCAGGCCCGTTACCTTGCCGTAGGCCGCCTCTGTCTCGGCGATGCTCCTGTCCAGCTCGCTGCGTGCGGCCAGGTGCCCGGCCAGGCTCTCGTTGGTGCGGGCCAGCCGCTGGCTCAGCGCCCCGAGCCTCGCCTGCAGCCGCCCCCGCTCCGCCTCCTCCTCCCGGATCCGCTCGCTCAGCTCGTCCCGCCGTGCCCGCAGCTCCGCCAGCCCTGCCCGGCCCGGCCCGGCCCGTCAGCCCCCGGCTTGGCACGGCACAGCCCGGCCCCGTTCACCCGCCCGGCCCCGCTCACCCTCCAGCAGCGCCGCGTTGTAGCCCTGCAGCGCAGCGCCCGCCTCGCCCATGGCGGCTCCCGGCCCGGCCCCGCCAACGGCCCCGCCGCGCTCCGCCTCTTCCTGAGGCGCGGCCCGCATGGAGCCGCCGGCGGCCGCGGGGCTCTCGGCGGCCTGGCACCGGCTCAGCACCGCCCTGGTGCCGCCCGCGGCCCTGGGGCTGGTGAGCGGGGGGCGGCCGGGGGAGGGCCGGGGGGGGGGAGCCGTGGGGGGGGAGGGAGCCGCAGCCGCCCTCGGTTTGGGGCCGGGGGGAGCCGGGGGAGTTGTGGTGCCTGAGGGGGATCCCGGGTCCGGCTCCCGGTCCCTCCGCTCTCGGGGCTGGTTTTGTGTTCGCCCTCTCGCCCTGACGAGGTGCCGTGGCCCAAACGCCCTCCGTGGTGGTGGAACAGTGGCCGAACAGATCGCTGCTTCCTCCCCCGGTGCTGCGGCTCTCTGCCGGGTTGCGCCCTGCAGAAGGCAGTTTTGGGGTTTTGTCGCAGGGCCTGGTGTTTTGGGGGGCACAGCACCAGCCTGTGTCCTGCTGCAGCGGCCACCGAGGGGACTAGTGTTTGGGAACTGGGCCTCTGAGGCGGATGCTGGGCTTCCAGCAGTGCTCTGAGACCCCGGCACCCGCTGGGTGCTGTTCAGCAGGGCCGGCGTGCGTTTGGTCCCCACTCCTCGGGCCGAGCGGGCTCTTCTGCCACAGATCGACCTACAGAAGTGTGCGTGTGCTTGACGTGCTGTCCCCTCTGCTTTCCAGGCAGCGCCAAGGTCTGATCCTGTGGGGCCGCTGAAGGATGCCGACCTGCGGGCTGCCCTGGAGGTGCTGCGCTGTTACGACCTGCACTCGATCGTGGAAGAGTGGTTCATCGAGGTGTTGCAGACGGACCTCCAGGCGAATATAGCCCCCGAGTTCTGGAACTGCATTGGCCAGTATGAAAACACAGCGGAGGAGCCTCAGTGCTCCTCGCTCCTTCTGGACGCGTTTTGTCTTCTCAAGTGCCGCCTGGACCCCTACCTGAACAGCCTGGAGCTCCTGGAGAGATGGACCAAGGCGGGCTTGCTGCTGGGGACAGGCGCTCAGATGCTGCAGGAGAAGGTCTACACCATGTTCAAAGCTATCCTTTTTTTCTCCACCACAAAGTCCTTCCAAGAAATGATCCAGCAGTTCTATAGCCGCACTTTCCGGATATACATGCGGCAGTGGAAGAAAGGAGAAGAAGGAATGAACGAGTGTGAGAGCAGCATGAGTGAGAACGAGCAAGAGAGTGATACGGAGGAGGGCGGAGGAGAGAGCCAGGTGTGCGCAGGCTGCGGCAGTAAGAGGGAGCAGTGCTGGTGTCCCAAAGCCATGGAGCAGTTTCAGCAGCTCAATGACATTCTGTACGTATGTTATGAGGTGATGCTGTCTCAAGAACAAGCAGATAGTCCAGGGAGGGTGGCAGCAGCAGCTCTTGTATCTGAAAACTGGAGGAGTTGTGCGTGGGGTTATGCAGGCAGTGACATAGTACTGCCTAGGGAACTTCACACAGTTTCTGTGGCTGCTGGCTAGCTGGTGGCTGAACTAGAGCAGATCTTTAGACTGAAGTTCTTTTTACTGGCTGTGGGAATATCGCTGTCTTTTTCTAAGGCCTTCTGTTCCAAATAAGCAAACTTCTCTAAATGAAAAAGCTTCTGGTAGCTAGAAAATAATGCTTCTGAATGAGATGGGACAGCAGTAGTTTCATCTATCATATATGTAGTGCATCTGTGCAGGCTCTCAGAGTGTTTAAATTTAAAACTGTTCCTGCATCCATGGACCACGCAGGGAGACAGGTGCCTTCAGTTAGTTAGATTTTCTTTATTTGCTTGTACTTTTGCTTTTAGTCACTCTGAATTGGGTCTCTCTCTGTGTCTGCAGCCGCCGGCTGAATTTGCTGGAGAGAGTGAGCGCCGATGCTGTCACAACCATCTTGCACAGGATGATCGAGGAGAGGATGGAGCAGAGATGCAGGGGCGAATATGAGCACTCTTTCCTGAATGAGTTCCAGGAGGTGAGGAAGGTGGGCGGGCAGTCAGGGCCCTTGCTCTGGAGATGTGGAGCTGCTCCTGTTACTGGCAGAGCAGCTCAGGCCAAATTCCTGATTTCACCTGAAAATGCCTGTTCCTGGGCTGTGACTTCCTGGGCAAAAGAGGAGTGGTTAAAGCTTTCCATATTGATTTAATGCTAGAAGAGAATGCTCTGACCTATGCATACCAGAGCATTGCATTTCACCTGGTGATGTCCCTATTAACGAGGGAATTTCTGTCGTTCTGTTCTACAAACTATGTGAACGTGACGTGCCACCTAACCTGTAGAAGGCCCTCCCTGTGTATAGGTGGGCCCATAACTTCAATTTGTGCGGCTTTTTTCTCTCCACTTTCTAATTTTTCAGCATCCCTTTAAATCAGGAAGCAAGGATGGGAGATAGCGTTCTGGTATTGATTTCTCCAGTGGGTTGCATACAGAATTAAACTCTCGCATCTATCTAGTTCTTTTGCTACTACCTTAAACCGAGTTTGTGTTATTTGCTCTGTATGACCTTAAAATTCTTCTCAGAGTTATGGCTCTTCTGGGATATGGTCTCTGTTCTGCAGGCTTGCTCTGCACTCTTTGTTCCTTGGTTCATGCCCTTGCATTTGCCTGTGTTGAAGAACAATGTGTGAGGTCAGGTTGCCATGCGAACCAGGCTGCTCTGCGTGGTTGTCCCAGTTTCCTCGCTGTTTGTCATGCTGGCCTTTTTTGTTGTCTGCAAACTGCGGCAGTGATTTGGAATTTACTTCCTTGTAGTTGCTGCGCAACACTTTCTTTTTTGGCCCTAGTGTAAAATGCTTTCAGGTAACCTGGAGACTGTTTAAGGACACCAGGGAAAATGCAGCTGCATTCCACTTGTCACACATTGCAGAAGGTCCCCGCGCTCCCACATCTTCAGAAAAGGCCAGTGTGTTTGGCTGCAGGACATTAGAAGATGTGAGAATTAGGAAGAGACATTTAAAAAAGAAAAAAGGCACAAACCTGGCAAGCTAAAGGCTAAACAGGAGAAAACTGAGAAAGAGCTTGCTAAATGTACAAATGCTAAGAGCAAACCTCCTTCCCAGACATGTCACAGGCAGTCCGGAATGTCAGTTGATAATCCAGCTATAACAGGAACATTCAGAGAAGACAAATGCCCAGGATAAAAAATGGGTTGGTTTGATAGTAGTGGTAATCCTTAAAATTTAATTACTCTGCATCAGTTACAGTCCTTTCCTTTTATTCTTTAGCAGAATGCTTTATCAGCTTTTCCACAGTTTTGCCCAGAATTGCTGCCCAGATATTCTGTACTTCTCAGGTTTGTACTGCCTTGTAATTATTAGCAGAACTCGTGCATTCCTCACGTCTTCAGTGTTCCCTCAGTCAAACAGATGACTAAAAATTAACGTCAGCAAAACAGATCTGGACTTTGCATTTTTGTTTCAGGCTGTCCAAATCTGGTTATTAAAAAATAATATCTAATACCTATTAATACTCAAATACTATCTCAGGTAGTGTTATGCTTGTTACCCTAAAAAGAAAATAAAACAATTTGTTTTGAATATTTGGATATTGTAGCTGAGTGCATTTGAAATAATGACAAATGCACATTTCTCTGTAGAAAACTAAATCTCCAATATACAAAGTTAACCTCCTGATGCTCTTTGATCAGGTTGTAGGATTTAATTATTAAGTGACAAGGCTGGTATTTGTGGTCTTGTCTCAAGTGCCTGAGTTTGGCGGGTATGACTATATCTGTGATTCTTTGAGGTGGCTTGCTTATTCTTTATTGATTTCAGGAAGCTTAGAAATTCTGTGCCAAAGATGGTGAGGTGGGCAATTTACTCAAATTCTCATAAAGAGAATAGTTCCTCAAGTGTGGAATAGAAAAGAACAGGATTTTGCAAGAATAGTCTGCAAGTTTTTGAATATACCTTGTCCTTTTTTAGGAGCCCAGCACCTGTGCATGGTCCTCAGTCACCCCTGATCTCCTCACAGAAATGTTCAGAGTCTACATCCTGTAGGTCATGGGGTTCAGCTGTTCTTCCAGCTAGGCTTTCCTCAGCCAGGGTGTGTTTGGAGAGCAGCTAGAGGTGATGCTGTGCTTGGCAGGCTGCTCATTTCTGCTTGCTGTGGCAGCTGCCTGGTGATGGAGAGGTGTGGGACATGGTTGTGCATCCAGCTGTGGTGCTCACCAGCTCTTTGCTCTCCTTCTTCCATTGCAGTGGATTGAGAAAGTGATTGGCTGGCTCAGCAGAGTTTTTCTGCAAGATGGTCCCTTGGCTCGCTCCAGTCCAGAAGCTAGCAGCACCTTGAAACGCTGGCGGTGCCACGTCCAAAGGTTCTTCTACCGCATCTACGCCAGCATGCGCATTGAAGAGCTCTTCAGCATTATTCGAGGTAGGTATGACCCGTTCAGTGTTCGTTCACTCCTGTGCTTGGATTCATGATAGATCTGTCTTCACCTCCTGATGTGCCATGCCATCTCCTCTTGCTTCCCCGTGGAGCGTGGCACAGTTTCTAATCACTGCTTGGTCTGTAGATTTCCCAGAGTCAAAGCCTGCTGTGGAGGACCTCAAGTTCTGCCTGGAAAGGACTAATCAGAGGCAGCAGCTGCTCAGCTCCCTGAAAAGTGCTCTGGAAATGCGACTTCTGCATCCTGGTGGGTTTTGCATCTCTGCATATGTCACAACACTGTAAGAAGCCTGGTAATGAGTGGGGATCTGCTGGGAGCTGTCATTTCATTTTGTGTTTGTTGAGCGAGAGGCAGCCAGGCTCTGCACGTTGTGTGCTCCCCGTGTTGGGCACTAGTAGCTGATTACATCCCAGCCCCTTCTTGCCTGATTTTTGTGGTACAGTGAGACGCCTAGCTAGAACTTTAGCTTTTATCCAAGCGGTTAAAGGCTTCTCTGTTAACACACATTCTGGTCTAAGCTGGTTTATAATAGTCTCTGAACCTGTGTTTGCAGTTGGGACTGGTTTCTCAGTTATATGGATCTGATCTATCCCTGTGGACAGGGCAGAAGGGCAGCAAGCCCTTCACCTTCAGCGCCATAGATCTAATGGAGGGCTTGGAGCAGCCTGTCTTGCATCCAGGCTGTTAGTCTCTG